AGTTATAACATACATATTCCAAAAATACTAATTGACCATTGCTACTATTACAAAAAATCATTAAAAAATTAACTAACTGGACTATTGATTATTATTTACTGTATCTCTAAAGTATCTACCAAGTAATAATATTATTAATAATAATAATAGGTAGTTGGAGATTTTTGGCACTAATGTTAACATTAATAATTTATTTAACTTTCGCATTAGGTACTTTGAATAGTTTCTGCCTATATTACCTTAAGAAATTGGATTAGGTACTGAAGTACTTTCCTATTTTGTAGGTAGCTTGATTACAAATACACGTTCCAATTATTTAGTTTTACGTTGACCTACTGTTCCAGTTTTGCGAATGTAAAATAATTTCTTTTCCAATATGAATTTCGTACAAAAAGAATTAGATCAACAGTTTTATTTTTATCAGTATACACTAGGTACTGCGTTATAAAAAAAGCTTATTGCTGTGTCTCATTTTTGCAATTGACTTTTTACCGTAGCTTATTGTTTAAAATCACACATTTCACACTTACGATTAGACATACCTCAAACTACGCTATACTGAATACCATATAATTCTGTGACGATCATGTCTTATACGAATTTCAGTCGTATCATTAATTGTAGAGTACCTATCCTAATCAGAACATTATTATTTTGCATTTTAAGAAGAAATGCTTCCTTTAACTGACAGAGTACTCATTTTTAATACCAACCTACTGTTGATGGCACATTTAATGTGTTTATTAGAAATTTTTAATCTAACAATTACTATATATGTACTGCCTTCCTCATTAAGGTTGCTTACTTTCATGTGTACATGATCAGATTAAATAGTTCGTCGAATATTTTCGAAAATTTTTGAAATCATATTTCCTCCTCACTTCCGTACGGTTCCACTGCTTCATAAGCTATGCTGAATCCTTTGCTAGCCATTGAATCATCAGTTTGGAAGCGGATTAGGAGTGCATCATGCATTGATATAATATCCGTGGGTTTCTAAAATTTGTAAAAATGAAGAATTATTTTTGGTTAATGTCCTGATTCAATGGTAAAAATATTTTGAAACTTACTGTACTCCCGCAGTATTTTCCGTAAGATGGTCCACTGGCATCAAGCCCACTAAAAACTTCGACATAGTCATAGCCGCAATCCTTTTCATCCTCTAGATCAAAGGTCAAAAACATTAGGTGTACGTTATATCCCGGTAAGGCTTCCACTGTCCAATCGCAGTCAGCCTTGTCGTAATAATTTCCGCTTCCAAATTTTGGGTGAGAATAGAAGTGTTTCATGTCGAGGGTCGCTTGCAATCGTCCTCCGCATACGGTAGAGTGAGTAGCTAGGAAACCTTTACGTTGAACTGAAGCATCGGATTTGAAGACCATGAAGAGTTGATTGCCGGAAGCGACTATTGGGTGAGGCAGTTTTGATCCACAGAATCGACCTAAAACAAAACAACAACAGTTCATTCGATGTTTCTTCTGGGTGGATGAGAATTCCCGAAAAATTTTCTTATTGATTACCTAATGTATTGCTGTCTGGTGAATCTCCATCATAGAAAGCTATATGGTCGTATGAACACTCTTGGTGGGGTTCCATTTCGAAATTTATAAAAACTATTTTTATTCTATGTCCTGGGGTTGTACTAAACAGCCAGATACAGTCTTTTCGACTAGGATAATAGTCCGGATAATTGGGACTTGATATTTCACCATTAGTGGCAGTGATTTCGTATTTGCACCCTCCTTCTTTACAATCTTTCCCGTTTTCGTGGAGGGTAAAGCCGTTGTGGCATGTGCATACAAATGAACCTAATGTGTTTACACATTCGTGTTGACAACCACCATTATTTATTGAACATTCGTCCATGTCTACAATAACACATTTAATGTGCAGTTTATCAATAAAAAAAGTTAATGAGATTATATAAATTAAAGATCAATTTAATGCTCTGTTTAAGTAGAAAGAATAAAAAAAAAGTTCCGAAGATTTAATGTTTAAATGTCAGCTTCCTGTCCCGTTTGGATATCTGAAATTCAAAAAATATAAAAGGAAGTAATTGGTTGCTGGTTGGAGTTATCTACATTAGTCAAAAACAGTTAATTTAAATTATTGAGTCAGTTTTTCTTTTATTTTGAAAGAGTTTTAAAATACTTGATTACCTGTAAAGAAAATTGCGGCAAACCCAGTCTTTTGAACGCTGGTGTCTGAAGTGAAAATAATCCTTAAAGCATTACTTTCTGATGTAATTAATCCTGGCGATTTTGCTCCACAAAACACCTCATGTTTGCTGTACCTGTCTTCTCCTATTTTACTATGAATTTCTATTCGATCGTAATCACACTGTTGTTGGTGCATGTTGTTACCTTCTAGATCGAAGTGCGTGAAATTTAGCGTTATCCGATACTGGGGTTGTGCTATTATTTCCCAGATGCAATTTTTGCTTGGCGGATAAAGTTCAGGAAACGATGGTGAAGTTATCGTTCCATTATTTTGATCAATAACTCCTCCGCAGGCATCTAAATCAATAAAGTTCAATAATATAACATGCAACGGTGGGTTGTATGAGCTCGGTTATTACCTTCACAATTTTTGCCGTCTGAATGGAGTTCAAACCCGATCCGACATCCACATTCGCTTTTAAATAATCTTTAAATAAAGTCTAAAGTATGAATTAATTTGAAAAGTTAATCCACAATGTTCTAAACATTTTGTAGATGAGCTAAAAGTAACGAAAATGAATATTTGGTATTTTTTTTCCATGGGGAAATTTGTAAGTCTTATCTGCAGTGACTTTTAAAAATATTGCAAACTATTTTCATTTTTTTTTGTCATTTGTAAATTTTATTCTGCTAATTAATGGTCACTAGAAATGGTCGCTTGCTATTGTTCCTTTTGTAGAATATTTTTTTATTATACAATTAACGTGCCTTTTAAATATATAGTAAAAGTCTTATCAGCACAGCACATTTGTTTGTGTAATATAAACTGGTAATGCCTAATGACTAATAAGAGTCAATTTCATAACAATAAGTAGGTACTAATAATGTTAGTTAGCAATGGAAAAAACAATTGAACGTTTGCTCTAACAATAATTGGGTTTAAAATAATTATTAGTTTACATAAGAATTGTATTAAAGGCAGTTGTACAACCGGTAATTAACGGATTTTCGCGCATTTATTGAAAAAACACGTATTGCTGCATTTAAGATGATGAGAGCAGGTATTAGATAAAGCGTTGATTAGATTTTTATTGTAGATTGCATTTTTGAACAAGTTGTGTGATAAGTGGCAGGTAGAAAGATTGAAATTACCTTGGCCACAAACATCTACCTACTTATTGTTTTCTCAAAACTTTAATTAACGTACCTATTTATTTATTTTGCAATGTTTTTGTGTTTAATGTCATATACAGGGTTTTGTACATATTCGATTTATTTACAGTGTGTATAAAATTAACTTTTTTATTAATAATGACGAATAAAAGCAATGGTAAATTGGATCATTTGTAATTTTAAAATTACATATGTAAATTATTTCATATGGTTGTGTTTTACTTGGGTTTATTAGGAAAAAAATATTTCTAAAATTCGTTTTCATACCTTATATAGTTTTAAATCTCAATTTAAAGTCAGTAAAATGGGGTGGACAATAGACTAATGGTTTAAATTTGATTTTTCTCAAATTTACTGGATCCTTTTGCTTTTATTTTACAATTTAAAAAGATATAAATAATTTTAACAGTGTCATGTAAAAGTATAGTGCTTATTTTATTACTAACAATTTTTCGTTATACACATATGCATAACTGTGACAAAAAAGTGTTATAGTTATTTGACTATAGTAACTTGAATCTTGAAACATGTTTAATTTGTTATCTTTTCTCATTACATGACTCATTGTCAGTATTAGTATGCCTATTATACAGATATATAATAAAGTAAATTTTGTTTCTATATTTAACAATACAGTAAATTTTTGTGGTGCATTTGGAAAATAATACTGAATTAAAACGGAATAGAATTATTTTATTGTAATAATAGGTTTTGTTGCTTTATAACTTTATAAAATTGTATCGTACGTGAGTGTCTAATCTTGTTTGATTTTACGTAATAATATATTTGATTATTATTGTTATGAGTGTGAATATTGTAGTGCCCTTGACCGGGGGAGTAAAAAGGGGCAATGCAAAAAGGAAATTTCCCGGCGAGGTTGGGGCATTAGGTAAAAAAGGTAGACAAGTGGATCTGAGCGTCCCAAAACTACCTGCCCATGGATACCCACTAGACCATCCTTATAACAAAGATGGGTACAGGTATCTTTTAGCCGAACCCGATCCTCACGCACCTTTCAGACAAGTGAGAAATCTCATTTTTGTCTTATCTTAAATATTTTTGTATTATATCTCTTGTTTATATTATTAGGAGTTTGATGAGAGTTCAGATTGGGCAGGAAAACCCATCCCTGGTTGGTTATACAGAACTTTAATTCCCAGTACGGTCCTGCTCGCTTTGCACGACAGGGCACCTCAATTAAAAATTTCTGAAGATCGTCTTGCAGTGACAGGGGATAAAGGATACTGCATGGTCCGTGCAACTCATTGTAAGAAGATAGAACCTGTGGGTTACTATTTCTCTTAAAATTTATTATTGTTTTGGTTTAATAGCTGTTAATCGGGGCTGTTGGTACTGGGAGGCGACAGTTGAGGAAATGCCCGATGGTTCAGCCGTTAGATTGGGGTGGGGACAGGACTATGCGAATTTACAAGCGCCTTTAGGCTACGATAGATACGGTTATTCCTGGAGGTCGAAGAAAGGGACGAGGTTTCATGAATCAGCAGGGAAACATTATAGTCCTGGTTATGGAGAAGGTGACACTTTGGGGTTTATGATCATGCTTCCTGAAAATAATAAAACAAAACGATTACCGAATACATACAAAGACAGGGTAAGTTAACAGGTAACAAGTAATTTGTGGTTTTTTAATCATCAAGGATTTTGGGCTTCGATTTTTGAAAATAATTTTTACCTTTGGAAATTGTTTGTAGCCTTTGGTAAAATTCAAAAGCCACCTGTATTACGAGGATAAAGACAAGGAGCTCGAAACTTTTAAAAATCTCAGGAAATTGCCAGGCAGTAAAATACTTTTTTTTAAAAACGGTGAATGTCAAGGTGTGGCGTTCGAAGATATTTATGGCGGCAATTACTACCCTTGCCTTTCCCTTCATAAAACAGCCACTGTATCAGTGAATTTTGGTCCTAATTTCAAGCATTCAGCCTCTTCAGCTGGTTTAGACTATCGTGGTGTAAGTAAAATTAAAGACTGTTTCTTTACATAACACTTACAACTTAATTATTTTTAGATGAATGAAAGGGCTGAACAGGCGATCTGCGAACAAACCCTTGCAGATTTAATATATTTGACCGACAATGAAGGAAAACTAAGACTGGATAATTTCGTTATGTGACAGTAAACTGTTTTTTTATGTTGTTGTCACTTTATGTTAATTAACATTTTGTCAAATTGATCGTCTGTTTAATTACATAAGTCAATTCTCATTTAATTATGTTTTACAATTAATAAAACCAATCATGTATTTATAATAAAAATGACATGAAATAAACGATTGTTAATAAATTGCTTTTTTGTCAATCACATGACTGTAGGTGTAAGACATTTCAACATTGTTTTTGGTGGTGCAACATCTTACCCATTGGTGTGTGTACAGGACTAATTTTGTAAGAGTGGCGGAAATCCGTTACAGGAAGTAGGGACGGACAAACGTGCGCTGTTTGCATTCGCAAATTGATACAATATTTGTAGAATTAAAAATACTCTTAGGCGTTAAAATACATTTTCATTGAATTAATGACTTCTAAAAAGAAATTGTTGTAAATGAATGTTTGAAAAGTTGTTATAATGTGCAATAATGAGGTCTGACAGGTTTAACAACAGTAGGCACCAATTCTTATAGTAAAATCAGTCATTGTAATACGAGGTTTTTGAATAAGCAGCAATGTAGTTTGCTAGGTGAAATAATGACAAATTATATAAAAAAACACACAAAGTGAACCAGTGTTTTTATCTAGAGACTATTTATTGTTGCTTTTGCATTTTGAAAGTATTTTTGACAGGACATTGTGCTTTTACTAGCTTTTTATGTATTGAAAATTTTTTAATGGTACACTGTATGTATAACATTAATTAAAAGGGAGGGAGTAGTCCAGGATTAGATCTGCTTTTAAATATTCGTTTAAAATTTTAGCTAACTACATAAAGTTGAAGTGTATTTAGCTTTCAGTGCTTTTCAATTTTTAATTTCATTTAATTGACAATGCTGTATCCAGAAATAGATGAAATTTATGTATGAACATTTGACCACAAATGTGGACTCTCTGTAGAACGTAATACTATGTATAAAAAAATATGAGTGCTGTCAGCACAAGGCAAAGTAGTATTACGTAAATGAAAGTTAGTATCAGCAAATTTTTTATGCTGAAGTGTACGATGTGTTGCATACCTATTGATTACTATACATCTATTAAAAAACCATAATGGCCGACATCAGTAACAATGGGACAACAATTGAAAAAGAATGATGGCCGACAACTGCAACAATTAAAAAAGAATTATGGCCGACACTACGTCATAGTGGAGCAATAAAAATGGCCCGGACCATTTGTTGATTAATCCAATATAAACTAAACATTTTTTAAGGACCATAAATGGCAACAGACGCGGCTATAAGTGATATGTATCTTTAATTAAAGAGTTGTAACTTTCTTAATTAGGTATTTAATAACTCAAAATCAGTCATACATAGTTTACAGTCACTTATCTAATTTTAAGTACATTTATGTTTTGCAAGTGAATTTTCAACCATTCAATTCGATTAAATAAGTTTACAAAATGAGTTATAACATACATATTCCAAAAATACTAATTGACCATTGCTACTATTACAAAAAATCATTAAAAAATTAACTAACTGGACTATTGATTATTATTTACTGTATCTCTAAAGTATCTACCAAGTAATAATATTATTAATAATAATAATAGGTAGTTGGAGATTTTTGGCACTAATGTTAACATTAATAATTTATTTAACTTTCGCATTAGGTACTTTGAATAGTTTCTGCCTATATTACCTTAAGAAATTGGATTAGGTACTGAAGTACTTTCCTATTTTGTAGGTAGCTTGATTACAAATACACGTTCCAATTATTTAGTTTTACGTTGACCTACTGTTCCAGTTTTGCGAATGTAAAATAATTTCTTTTCCAATATGAATTTCGTACAAAAAGAATTAGATCAACAGTTTTATTTTTATCAGTATACACTAGGTACTGCGTTATAAAAAAAGCTTATTGCTGTGTCTCATTTTTGCAATTGACTTTTTACCGTAGCTTATTGTTTAAAATCACACATTTCACACTTACGATTAGACATACCTCAAACTACGCTATACTGAATACCATATAATTCTGTGACGATCATGTCTTATACGAATTTCAGTCGTATCATTAATTGTAGAGTACCTATCCTAATCAGAACATTATTATTTTGCATTTTAAGAAGAAATGCTTCCTTTAACTGACAGAGTACTCATTTTTAATACCAACCTACTGTTGATGGCACATTTAATGTGTTTATTAGAAATTTTTAATCTAACAATTACTATATATGTACTGCCTTCCTCATTAAGGTTGCTTACTTTCATGTGTACATGATCAGATTAAATAGTTCGTCGAATATTTTCGAAAATTTTTGAAATCATATTTCCTCCTCACTTCCGTACGGTTCCACTGCTTCATAAGCTATGCTGAATCCTTTGCTAGCCATTGAATCATCAGTTTGGAAGCGGATTAGGAGTGCATCATGCATTGATATAATATCCGTGGGTTTCTAAAATTTGTAAAAATGAAGAATTATTTTTGGTTAATGTCCTGATTCAATGGTAAAAATATTTTGAAACTTACTGTACTCCCGCAGTATTTTCCGTAAGATGGTCCACTGGCATCAAGCCCACTAAAAACTTCGACATAGTCATAGCCGCAATCCTTTTCATCCTCTAGATCAAAGGTCAAAAACATTAGGTGTACGTTATATCCCGGTAAGGCTTCCACTGTCCAATCGCAGTCAGCCTTGTCGTAATAATTTCCGCTTCCAAATTTTGGGTGAGAATAGAAGTGTTTCATGTCGAGGGTCGCTTGCAATCGTCCTCCGCATACGGTAGAGTGAGTAGCTAGGAAACCTTTACGTTGAACTGAAGCATCGGATTTGAAGACCATGAAGAGTTGATTGCCGGAAGCGACTATTGGGTGAGGCAGTTTTGATCCACAGAATCGACCTAAAACAAAACAACAACAGTTCATTCGATGTTTCTTCTGGGTGGATGAGAATTCCCGAAAAATTTTCTTATTGATTACCTAATGTATTGCTGTCTGGTGAATCTCCATCATAGAAAGCTATATGGTCGTATGAACACTCTTGGTGGGGTTCCATTTCGAAATTTATAAAAACTATTTTTATTCTATGTCCTGGGGTTGTACTAAACAGCCAGATACAGTCTTTTCGACTAGGATAATAGTCCGGATAATTGGGACTTGATATTTCACCATTAGTGGCAGTGATTTCGTATTTGCACCCTCCTTCTTTACAATCTTTCCCGTTTTCGTGGAGGGTAAAGCCGTTGTGGCATGTGCATACAAATGAACCTAATGTGTTTACACATTCGTGTTGACAACCACCATTATTTATTGAACATTCGTCCATGTCTACAATAACACATTTAATGTGCAGTTTATCAATAAAAAAAGTTAATGAGATTATATAAATTAAAGATCAATTTAATGCTCTGTTTAAGTAGAAAGAATAAAAAAAAAGTTCCGAAGATTTAATGTTTAAATGTCAGCTTCCTGTCCCGTTTGGATATCTGAAATTCAAAAAATATAAAAGGAAGTAATTGGTTGCTGGTTGGAGTTATCTACATTAGTCAAAAACAGTTAATTTAAATTATTGAGTCAGTTTTTCTTTTATTTTGAAAGAGTTTTAAAATACTTGATTACCTGTAAAGAAAATTGCGGCAAACCCAGTCTTTTGAACGCTGGTGTCTGAAGTGAAAATAATCCTTAAAGCATTACTTTCTGATGTAATTAATCCTGGCGATTTTGCTCCACAAAACACCTCATGTTTGCTGTACCTGTCTTCTCCTATTTTACTATGAATTTCTATTCGATCGTAATCACACTGTTGTTGGTGCATGTTGTTACCTTCTAGATCGAAGTGCGTGAAATTTAGCGTTATCCGATACTGGGGTTGTGCTATTATTTCCCAGATGCAATTTTTGCTTGGCGGATAAAGTTCAGGAAACGATGGTGAAGTTATCGTTCCATTATTTTGATCAATAACTCCTCCGCAGGCATCTAAATCAATAAAGTTCAATAATATAACATGCAACGGTGGGTTGTATGAGCTCGGTTATTACCTTCACAATTTTTGCCGTCTGAATGGAGTTCAAACCCGATCCGACATCCACATTCGTAGCCTCCGATGGTGTTCAAGCATTCTTGGGCACACCCATGGTCTATTCTGTTGCATTCGTCAAATTCTTTGATAAACGATGCCGAAAATCCAGCTTTTTGCACTGATCCATCCGATACAAACTTAATTAGTAAATGGTTTGAAGTTGATCTTATATCGGGAGGTATTTTATATCCGCAGAAGACTCCAATTAAGGGACTTTCCATGCCAATTCCATCTCGAACTTCTACGTAGTCGTAAACACAATTGTCGTGGTTTTCTACTTCGAAGGATTGAAATTTGAGCGCCACTTGGTAATCTTCTGGGACAGTTATTCTCCAAATGCATTCTTTGTTCGGTTGGTAATCTTCTGGGTAGTTTGGAGATTCCAGGTGATCGCTGGTATCGAGAATTATGTCACCACCACATACGGCTAAAAGCAAACGATGTTTTGGTGTAAATCCAAGCAAATACTGTCAACAACAGCTATTTACTAATAACATACCTTCATAATTTGCTGTAAATCCCCGATGTCCCGCTGGATTTTTGGAGACGTAAGTAACCAACATTCTACTTCCCGTAGTAATGATCGAATCTTTCATTTTTCCACTTCCACAGAATTTTCCTAGTAGATTCGACTTATGCCAATATCCATCCCTAATTTCTACGAAATCATTCTTACATTCTTGTGATTTTGGTATGTCCAATTCTGTGATATTAAGGACGATTCGTTCGCCGTGGGTTGCCGTTATTCTCCATTCGCACCGCTCAGTTTCGTTATGAACTTTTTTGTTGAGATACGACGGTGATGAGAAAGTTCCAAAGTTCGTTTGAAAGGTTCTGCCACATTCTAGATAAAAGTTGGGCTGTTGTCATTTTAAATTTAGTAAATGCTTTTGTTTGAGATATATCGTCAATTTTAAATTTAAATTGTTCCATTATAATGAATAGCAAATTAGCAAAGAATTTGAATTATTTTAGTTAGATTTGATTGTAATTTTGTCATGTTTTTCAGACAAAGAGAAAAACTTTTGCCAGGTGTAGCCATTTCGGAATGTGTTTGTATAAACTATTGATCGCATCGCAGGTAATCAACTATTATTTTACAAATCCGCAGGAATAGATTTTTAAGCCATTCGAATGTAAATTTCTCGTTAGCGTTCTAGGACAGTTTTATGGGGTTAATTTACTGCCGTAATTTACATGCATAAATATGTCAGACTGCGTTTTATTACTGTAATACCGGCGATATTGGAATGCATAAAAAGGATTGCCTTTGTGTTGTGAAAAACAGTGAATTTTAATTTTTATTACGGTAGGTAACACATCATTCCCTTTGATCATTGATTTATGAAGGAAATACATTTTTTATCAAATTCTTATTCCATTTTTAAAATATCAGCATCTGTTAATATTCTATCTACTGAGATGCTTATTTAATTATTTTTGAATTTATGGGACCCACTTTCCCCTTCGGTTATATTAAAAATACTAATAATAAAAATTAAACAGTTAATAATAAAAATTAAACAATTCAATACTATCGAGAGAATTAGTACAAATAAGGGAACATTAATTAAACTATAAAGTTACTACGTACTGGGACATTTGTAGAGCAAATTCGTTTGTGAGATGTCACCTTCGCTAAGTCTTACACGTTGTCCAATTTCTGGTCTTTTACGCCCAGTAACTTCAACTGGTAAAATTGTATCCAAGTAAGTTCCCTTAGAAAAGGTATTTCTGGCGTAATGCATAATGGAATCGTAATCGTAAGTCAAGCCTAAAGAATTTACTTCTCCCTCTGTTAATTTGTTGAAGTTGTACTCTTGGCCTGTATAAAATTTACTACATATTAATGCACATTAAAAAACAAGAAAATCTAATCTAAGATGATTACAGGAATCTACATTCGTAAACAAATCAGTTTGCCTTATGATAAATTAATTTAAAACTGAAAGTTTAAATGAAAAACTATTATTTTACATTTTGAAGATATGAAAATCTTTATGATTTTTTCTTCAATATCAATAGTTGACATCAACATTGTTAGTTGAACTTCGTTAGTAAACCCTTACCGGACATTATGTTGTCTCTAAATATAAGGACGTGGTTGTCTCTGTCGGGCCGGGTATGTTCGTGCCAGAAGCCCACAACGTGACCCAATTCGTGGACCACAATTCCGAATTTATCACAATTTTTGCCTATGCTAATCGCTTGGGGTCCATTACCCCTTTTTCCTACGAAGGAGCAACACCTACAATAGTTTATGTAATCAAGGCAATCAAAGCGTTTAGTTTTGTAATAAATTTTACGGTTCATTATAGAATTTTAAATTTAAAGGGATTCATAAGAAGCAAGAAGACTGGAGTCATGTAAGTTACTGCTCATGACTCCAGTACGAAGCAAATTGGTCTAAAAAGCATCATCATCAGTAAAGGATGGAAAATTCAAGGGTCCGCTGCGCTATGAGCCACTGCACATCAATAAGCACCAAACGTAAGCAAAATTTCCTTGACTACGTGACAAATCGGATGCGCACTGCCTTACTGCGCAGTGGACTACCGAGCACAGAAAGTAAGAAATAAAAACTGAATCACTCAATAATGTTACTATAGTAACTAACGTAATAGAAATGATATTTATAAATCGATACAGTAATACAAATCTGATATTTATTATTGAATTAAGTTGTACAGTATTTTTCTAATTTTTATCCAAAAATATCTTAATACATACAATGTTGGATAACTGTCTAAAACGTACCCGCAAGGCCTTTCTGTGAATATGATGTAATTCTGATGTTCTAAAGGATTCCTTTCCACAAATTTGACACAAGTGAAATTTTCCCAATGTCGCATGGCTTGTTTGAAAAGCGCTTTGTGACCACCGCTGAAGTTGCCGTCAATTTCGTAGGGAATCACTCCGTAGTCCCATACCCTTTCCTTATGTGCAGTCGCAGCCCTTGTGACAATATGATGTGGCGCCCGCAACCCTATTGGTCTCTGTTGATGATGATGATGGTGATAATGGTCCGATTGTTGCTTTAACGTTTGTTTTCTCTTCTGTTTGAAATCGAATTTTGGCTCGAATTCGTGAATTGGAATGTCCCTTTTGAATACAGTCTCGTCTGAGATTGTTAGGGGTGAGATCGTGGTGGTGGTGGTGGTTCTTTTTGAATGTCTACAAGATTTAAGCCATTACATTTATTACGATGATACTCACATTTTTAAAATCGTAAAATCAAAAAGATTATCTATAATGTGTACTTGACTAAAATAACAATAACAGTTTGTATTATTCAATTTTAATTAAAAGAAAAGTATGTTCTTTGTCGGATAAGAAAATTAAACGAATGCCGCAGGCAATCGATACTCGTTGTAGTTTTGGTTTTGATAGCCGGCAACTGCAACACGAAATTAGGTTTCCGGAATTAATCAGGAATACTATTACATATAAGTAACCGTATATACTGTGTTTTTGTGTTGTACAATTAAGTGAAAAGATTTTCACCAGAATCTCAGTCTTACTTTTTTTTATTTTTCCGTCGTCTAATTTTCGTAAACGTGTTCTTTTTCCTCTTCTTTATATGTCTCTTTTGATGCTTAGATTTTTTGTTCGTTTCTTCAGGGCCCTCGAAAGGGTCATAAATCAAACTTTTAACCTTTTTCGTTTGATTGTCCAAAGTCTCTTGAATATTCTCAGGATTATCCGTTGTTGTTGAATAATTGTTCTGCACCCCATTTTGGGGTTTCCTTTTCAAAATCTGACCGTTCTTATATAGCGACGGAACGATGGGGTTGTAATCAATTGGGTCGTTGTTGTTGGTTTTGGGGCTGGGAGGGAGTTGTTTGGCCTTTTTACGAATCAAATCGGTCAGACCCTCCTCTTCAATCTGAAGTCCTTCCAGGACCTCTTGTTTATATTGTTCGATCTCTTCCTGATGAATGTCGCTCTTTTTATAACTACCATAGTCATATCCTGATATGGCTATGTCGCCTTGGAAGTTATCTGAAAGAGTGATAAGAAAATGCAGGTTAAATACAAGGAGAACTCAAAATAACTTTGAATAAGTAAAAAGGAAAAATTTGAAGGTGTTTGGAGAAGAATGCTCAAAAGAAAAGGTAAAACGACGTAAAATAAACTAAATTTAAAAATGTGAAACATAATTATAAATACATTAATTTTTAAATGATTTGTGACAAAAATTTTATCAAAGATATCGGAAATTTGTTTCTTAAAATTAGTAGAGTAGAAAAAGTCAAACAATGTGTTGCTCAATTTGTTTTAAATTGAATAAATTAGAATTTTTAACTGTAATATAATATAGATTTTTAAGTCAGATTGTGTGTTACAATTAGATTTACAACTACTTAGGCCTGAGGCAATCATCTTGTTTCGCTTTGCTGTAATACATAAGTATTAGGTGATTAGCACAACTTTTGAAATTCTGGTAATGAGAATCTGCCCCCGAATTGATACAAGTTTGTACAGATTCAATAAACGACGGAAACCAATGCGATGTGACAGTCGTTTGAACCGTTGTCAAATGTGAATGGCCATTTAATCCGGTCAAATGGGGCTTCATAATTAAATGTCGATGTTTCCAATCAATAAATCGGCGCTTATCTTTGTTATTCTCTGAGGGAGAATGAAGCAAACTGATTTGTAAAACAAGTACCTGTACCAGGTAAACTGTTCACCTTCTGCTTTTCAAACTACGCTGTGTCGGAAAAATTTCTGACTCAAAAAAATAATGGTCAAAATGCATTGACTAGAGTCATTCTGTTTCTGCTTGTAACTTCTCTTGCGTAAATATCGATATTTGTTGACGCAATATCATAAGAGTAATTTATATCTCAGCTTCTACGCTGTAAATATCTCCATCTTTTTGAGACATATTAGTCATCTTGTTTTTTTGACGTGACAACGTCTTATAATTCGATGGAGCCGGCTGCACGCACGAAAAAACATGACTCATGCGGCGTTACCTCGCTCTGAGGCGTTCCATTTAAGGCTTGAAGTGCAAGCGAGAGCGCGGAACGAGCGACAAAGAGGCACAATCGGCCTCCGCGTTCGGCAGCGTTCGACATCTGTCTCTCTCCTACTTGAGTGAGCGATGCGTCCGCGTGGACAGCTGCTAACAATAATACATTTCCATTTACCTCCTTCTCTATATCCATACAAAATATCTATCAAACAAATAAAATTAAAATTTTCTTTTGAAAAATGAAACCATTCCATCAGTATTTTCTTATGACGTTGTCACGTTCAACTATCGTCAGTAAACCGACTTTACAGACAACCGATTTTTTATTCAGTTTCTTTGGTTTCTTCAGCTATGTTCTGGTGAGGACCAGTAGCTGTGAAATTACTACTTGCCATTACAAAGACCCGAAAAATTGCAGGGCATGAACTTAATGCTCTTTACCACAGCTTTACTTTACAGTCCATTTTTACGTATTCCACTCTACATCATTTTTATGTACCTAGTCAGTTTTTATTCATTACGTTGTTTGCCCTGTAATGCATATTATTTTTTCTATACCATTATTGTTGCTTGTGACTTCATATTCTCCGCTGTATTAATATTTCCTATAAGAACGTTTCTTAGGAACATCGGAATGTATCTATCTAACGAAATCGCGGATTCGAAATTATTAGGTCTCATCAGAGCTACTAGAAAGCGATGTACTGTCTATAATCGTGTAATATATAATCTCTATCTCCTTTCAAAAATCCCTAGAGATTTAGTTTAGACTTTAGATTAGCATTTGGGAGGACATCGGTTTGATCCTGAGTCCATCTTCATTGGTCTAAATTTTTCTGAGGCTTCTTTGAATCAATTAGGCAAACGCTGGGGCAGTAATATTCCACAGATAATCTTTCATTCTCTTCTGTCTTCATTTCGTCTGTCTCATCTTTCTCATCACTATCACCACCCACCCATTCCTGCGATTTTTCAAAGGAAACTGAAGAGGGCCTTCCGCTTTATCCCTTGGAGTAGTCTGGAGGGACTGCTCGTCCATCAGCATTAGTATCTGGTAGGCATGAAGCACCCGAAAGTTGTTGGGCGCTGCGGAAAAGAAAATGCTAGAAGCTTTTAAGACGTGGTGTAGACGAGAACAGAGGGAGCAATGGAAGTCAATAAGAAATAGGCGAAGTAGATTGGTGTGCAACCAGGCACTTTCTGAGACATGAAGGGCTAGTTAGAAACATATAAACATAAATAGGAGTTAGAAGGGGTGGAGGTACATCTAGATTAGTGTTCAGAAATGATCAGAGATGTAAGTTGCTGTCTAAGCAGTCTTGGGGTTGAATACATGATGATGATCCCATGTCTGCTAGCTTTCCATTTATTCTGTATTCTTTTAATCCAATTGTAATTTTCGTTTCTTCAATCTTCTTTCTTCTTTCAAACATTTAAGGATCGTTTCTTCAATTCAATTTTTTTATAAATACTTATTAGTTATACTAGTTTGAATTCCTTATTTCATTTCATTTCTTCCTTTCTTTAAGTTATTTCTGCTAGTCATAATTCTAAGTCAGCTTTTGATTGTAGTATTTTTCTGTATTCTAGAACAATCTAAAAGTTATCTGTCTTCCAGCTTCTGCCAAGACACTGTTTCTCGAAGCACCCTTTCGCGACTAATGCTTTATCTGATCATAAAAATTTATTCCTTTTTTGTGTATGCTTTGTGTAGAATAGTAAATTTCGTATTATCAACTGAATTCCGGGTCGCATTCTTCGCTCTAAAATGTGCACAAAAAGTTAATGAAAACACGGCTAATCTTCCGGCACATGATCTCGGAAATTATTTCTAGCAGCTTAGCAAAACTTCCTCCAAATCCCTCACTTTATTACAGAGGGTCGTCTCAAGTTTATGACGCAAATTAAATGGCTCTTTAAAAGCCGATTAACGGGGGGGACGTTTAACAAAAGAAACGGTTGCTTTCAAGGGAAGATTACGCAGTCCCTCGCAGGGTGTATCGTCCTCACGAAAATTTCCCGATTGTAGAACAAGTATTCACTATAAAGTTTAAATGTTACGTTTACGACCAGGATAATTAAGGATCTGACGGTGCAAGAGGCCGAATGAATGTGCCTACGAAACCCGCATTACCCTTTACGAAGTATTTGTAAACAAAGAGGTGTCATGAAATTTACAACATTATGGGTAGGTGCGAAGTTATTTTGCAATTATTAAACAAAACGTAATCCGCAAAGTAAAATTAGTTTCAATCTTTAATCAAACTTATTGTTATCATGAAGCTGCAAAGCTGTTTGTGTGATTGCTGATGTATTTTCCGTTCAGGGACGCAGCCAGATTGTTTTTTGCTTGGAGTAACGGAGGACCACTCTGCTGTAGATTTCAAGTTCCATAATTATTACTTATAGCAGTATTAGCATATAGCAAGGAGGAGTTAAAGATAGCTTTAAATAAAATGGAAGAGGTGTAGACAAAAGAGTATCGTATGAAAATAAATAAAAGTAGAACATAAATACTGGTATGCAAGGGAAGAAAAAGGACGGAGAGAGCGAATGTAAAGATAGGAGATGAAAGATTAGAAGAAGTGACTGATTTTAGGTATCTAGGAAGTCAGATAAGTCAGGACGGAAGGAATAGTAGGGATATAAAGCAGAGGATAGCGCAGAGTCGATTCGCCTTCAATAAAAAGAAGTCACTTCTATGCTCGCGAACGGTTAATTTAGAAATTCGAAAAAGGTTGTTAAAGGTGTATGTTTGGAGCACGGCGTTGTACGGGTGCGAAACATAGAGAGTAGGGGCGGCGGAAAAGAAAAGGTTAGAAGCCTTCGAAATGTGGTGTTATAGGCGAATGATGAGGATAGCGTCGATAGAAAAGGTTAGAAATGAATAGGTAATAGAAAGAATAGGAGAACAGAGGACTCTATGGAAGTCAATAAAAAATAGGCGAGATAGGTTGGTAGGACACCTTCTCAGGCATGAAGGTCTAGTCAGAGACATATTAGAAGCAGAAACGGGAGTTAGGAGGGGTAGAGGTAGACCTACGTAGACCTACTGCTCACAAATAGTTAAGGATGTGGGTTGTTCTAGTTTTGGGAAATGAGAAGATTAACTTAGGATAGGAAAGAGTGGAGGTGCGTGTCCAACCAGTCTTGGGACTGACAACTTCATGACGATGATGAATTATTACATGGTATGCCTTCAGTAACATAAAAATGTAAAACCACAAGTCTCATATAATTCAAAATGCCTTGAGTTCCTTGATAATACATTGACCTTTTACGTTATATTGGGTTAATTTTTATGGTGAGTTAGCACATGGACCAGAACTTTCAATGCTTGGGTCATGCACCACCCGGAGCTACATACGTTTCTGCTTCCGCGAGGAAATAGATAGGTTACGAATTGTAAAGAAGGTAAATTTTGACATAGAACTGTTATTCCTAGTTACATAGGGTGTTTAATGGTTTAACCAAAACAGGTATGTAAAAAGTGGAGTAATGAATCAAACGCTGATAGAGAGTTTACGCAGTTTAATTTCCTATACAATCAATCTTCTGCTTTCATTATCAACTATGATAGGCTAGCATAAATACCAAGAGTTAAAAGAAATTTCAGGAAGCAGTTGCATGACCTGATCTGTTGCACTTCCTCCTGGAAAACTAAGCTAAACTTAAATGGTCTAAACTACAGACATCTGGATTATAGAATAAATAATGTTTAGGAAAGCATAAATGTAAACAGTGTAAACGATAGAGTCGTCTAAACTATTAAACAGTCCAGTACTACTTGTATGTATGTTTTTTTGACTATTTTATGCATTCATTTTAGTTTCAATATTCCAATTTCAAAACTCAAGAAACGTAATTTTTGATCCTTTTGAGGGGATTATCTACTACTATTTTATATAAAAAAACAACATAACCAAGAGGGTAGTAATTTTTAAGTATCTTTTGCTGCTGAATTAGAATTTGACCTCATACATGGCACGGCACATCAAAATTTTGAAATATTTTAAAACTA